ATGAAAGTAACAAATCATTCCTTTTTGTGAAGCAACATTCATGGAATTCTTCTGAAAATTGTCTGACAAACTATAAGTGTCATATATAATTTCCTTACTATTATAATCCTTGAACCCAATTTGGTTCAAAACATCTGGAATATATTAGTGCCATATGCTATCATAAGCATTTACTTTGACCCTCACTTAGAAAAAGGAGTCTTTATGTCTAATTTAGACTATTGAGGTTACTACGTTGACCTGAATTTAAAGCATGTTGGGGATGAATATTCTCTCATCCTCTGTAATATTAAGCAATAAATTGCTTTTGGTGATATTGCATGTGCATCCATTCAAATAAACAGGGCAATTTATGCAAATATAACTGTTCTACAAAAATCTCATCCTCTGAGAAAATCGTGTTACAGTCCTCTCTGAAAGTTCAACAAGGAGCAACATTCTTACATATTTAAATCTCCCATGACTTTCCATGAGAGAATTAGATGCTTCCTTTAAGAGTTTAGAGAAACTGTATGGAGGCCTCCATGTTCCAAACAAATTAGATGGCCCCCAATGAAGGAAGGCTTCTTTTCTCTGACATCATTGTCTTGAGTTGTCTATCTGAGTTTGATAAAGCAGAGCTCACTTGTGACTTGTGTGCATGGTGGGGACACTTCAAGCTACAGTTTTACAAGCAGCCATTGTTTCAGAACTTAAGTGTAAAGTAAAATTTGGAACTTTTAGAGATTTACAAAGGAGAAGAATCACAATCTTCAAAGTCAAACTGTCCAGAAAGAATGGAAGTCACTCCTTCAAGCCTGCCAGCAGTACATAGAGGCACCATCATTGAGCTTATGTGATCTCTCTCTCTCTCTCTCTCTCTCTCACACACACACACATACCACATACATAGGACAATGCGAATAGTTCACTTTCTTTTCTTCTTATGCTTTTTTATATGATGAAAGCTTAATAGTTAGAATGACTCAGATGGAAAATGCGAATAGTTCACTTTCTTTTCTTCTTATGCTTCTTATATGATGAAAGCTTAATAGTTAGAATGACTCAGATATTATATTGATATATAAATAACCTTGTAGTTATAATAAAAGCTAATGTCAAGTTATTTTTAAACTCAAACACTAACACTACTGATTTATAGGGAACTGGTGTGAGGCACTAATAATCAGTTAGCCCTGGGTGTTAAGTGCTTCTCTGTACATGACCTTATTTATTGTACTACTGGAGGAAGTAGGCATCATTACTCTCATTCTCTACATGAGGAATCAGGCTTGAAAAGTTAAATAGTGTGCCCAAAGTTTTACAGCACAAAAGTGATGGAGCCCGTTACTCAAATTCAGGTCTTTCTTGACACCATAGGACTTGTTTATCTCTCCATGTATATTTAAATCTTCCATGACTACACATGAGACAAGAATCACTGAGGTTTTCTGAGACAGTTTAAAGAAACTGTATGCAAGCCTCCATGTTCCAAACAAATTAGATGGCCCCCTGTTGAAGGATAACTTTTTCCCTGACATCACTGTCTTCAATTGTCCTACCCGACTTTGATAAAGGAGAGTCATAGTGCTTGCTTACCTCTACGACACACTGCCTCTCCTACACATACCCATGGGATCATATCTTTCTTGAGAGTCAGGTTCCATAGTCAGCAGGCAAAGGGAAAATGTAAACATTTATTTATTATTTTTTTAAACTCTAAAATTCCCAGAAATTCCAATAGAGTACGGGAGAGAGATAGAGAGTTAGAAACATCAATGAGAGAGAAACATCGACCAGCTGCCTCCTGCACACTGGGGATGTGCCTGCAACCAAGGTACATGCCTTTGACCGGAATCGAAACTGGGACCCTTGAGTCCGCAGGCCGACGCTCTATCCACTGAGCCAAACCGGTTTCGGCAAATGTAAACATTTAAAATTTCCTTGAAGATTCTCTAAAATTCCCAGAAATTCTAGGAGAGTACATTTTTCTTTTCTTTTAAATCTGAATTAGACTTATGTTGCAAATTTCCTTGAAGAGTCTCTAAAATTCCCAGAAATTCCAATAGAGTACACTTTTCTTTTCTTTTAAATCTGAATTAGACTTATGTTGCTGTTTCTTTGACTGAACATCAGAGGAAGTAGTTGGATCTTTCAGGGGTCATAGAATTTGAGTATGTATCTCTATATACTAGAGTCACCTTTGCGGTAGCAAGGTGCTCACATTATGAGAGACCCACAAAAGCAAAACTGACTAATGAAACAATAGATCACGTTTCCCACCTCAGGTTTTCCCTAAGTAATACACACACTGAGTGAGTAACTTACCACACACCATTTACATTGTAATTTTCACATCTTTTCTGTATGCATTTCCTCTTTTTCTCTTGGGGAGGGCAGGGGGCACAAGGGTGTTTGCTAAGCAATAAGGGAATTCATTTAAACAAACTGCACATATGACATGGTTCCAGTGATATGTATTATAAACACACACCAAGTATCCTAATACTTAGAGGAGAAGAGGAAGTGATCTGCCTGACATTTCCTGGACCCTCCCTGCCCCCTGCATTCCTGCAGCTGGCCCTACAGTTACTCTCGTCCTCAAGGGGAGAGGCTCTCGTACTAAAAGCTTATTTCCACAATGGCTGCCAATGATACAATCCTTACTTTTGAGCTGCATCATCTCAATGTAAGATTAACTAAACATATAAGCTGGGGAATTCAGCCCATGTGACAAAGACTTTGTCCTTTTTGGCAGAGTCATTACATAATGGACTCTGATTTTATATCTTGAGTTTTCACCAAGTGACAACAGGAAAAAACAACCATATAAAATCCACCACTAACCTGTCTATAGACAGGTCTATCTCAGTCTGTTGTAAAAGACACAGAGAAAACAACTGTCTTGATCCTGTGCTTGACTGAAAAATTAACATAATTTCCATCTGGTGAACACTGTCAATTTTATTAAAAATGTGTCGTGCTCTTTGCTTTGTCCAGTACAAAGTTCAGCATTAAATGGGAGAGCCATTTGCAGCAACAGAGCAAGAAGGTATCTGAACTTTACTTCTGAGCTGTAGATGATTATTTTCTCTTCATCATGTCTTATCTGTTGGCATTTATGTTCATATTTCTAAGTCAACCTCTAGCCTTATTTTGGTCAAAGCAAGATTCAAGGAACCAAGAAAAAAATAAAAGTATCGGTTATCAAAAATGACTAGGCATCTTTTTAGGGCTTCATTAAGGCAATTATTAGAGTGGTACAAATCTCAGAATAACACTAAGCCAGAGTTAAGATATCTTTTCTAATCAGAAAGTTTCTAACTGAATAAACAAAATATTTACCTTATAAACATAGCAGTTGGGACTACCATAGTAAATGAGACAGACAAGGTCTCCTCTAGAGTCTAGCGGACAATAAAGCAATAACAGCAAGTTAGACTAACATGGGACAAGTGCTGTGGGAGAAGACACTGGAAACACAAGGCCATGCCAGTGGAACCAATGAATTGGCGTGTGTTTGTTTATTTGAACTTAGAAATGACTTTCAGGATGAGGCCTATTCATACTTCGGAGCCACCCAGTCAAAGATGTTAAGAGTGAGAGAATTTCAGTGAGAAGGAAGAACCTAAGAATGGCCCAGCTCCCAAGTGAATGTTTGCAATTGGAGCTAATGATGAGGCACTCAATTAAAATCATGGGATTTACAAGCAAGTCCTGACTCCCTTCTTTCAGTAGCCATACCCTGAACCATTGTATGTGTAAGTATATCTTCAGTCTGATAGTCCAACATCACAGCCAGGACTTCGGAATTTACGACATATTTTCCTCATTAAAAGGACCTCTGTTTCTATTGCCTTGCTAGTCTGTCTTTACTGGTAGTTAACTATTCTGATCAATAACAATTGGGAGGAGATAAAATCTGTACAAATTAAACTGAGAACCTGACTTTAGCATAAGACCTGTACGGGAATATTAAATTACAGTGGGGCCTTGACTTACGAGTGTCCCGATTATGAGTAAGTATGTCTTCAGTCTGATAGCCCAACATCACAGCCAGGACTTCAGAATTTACGACATATTTTCCTCATTAAAAGGACCTCAGTTTCTATTGTCTTGCTTGTCTGTCTTTACTGTTAGTTAACTATTCTGATCAATAACGATTGGGAGGAGATAAAATTTTTACAAATTAAACTGAGAACCAAAAAAAAAAATTAAACTGAGAATCTGACTTTAGCATAAGACCTGTATGGGAATATTAAAAAAAAATATATACACACACACACACACACACACACACACACACACACTGATCCAATATTTCCAAGTGGGGAAGCCTGAATATTTATCATCAGAATTCCTAAGTGTGACGATTTTGTCTCATTTTTTCAAAATCACCCAATGGAAGACCACTGGCCAAACATTTGAGCCCATTACTTCCAATTTGAGCTAAATAAACATAAACAATCTTCTCTAACTGTTACTTAATACAGATGTCTTTCTCAATATAATCTAATACTTCAAAGACTATTTATCTAAATAATTTATTTGATTTTGTTTTGACCAAGTCAGCCAGAGCCATCACTGTTATTCATCTCCAAAGCAAAGTGCCGCCGTGATTAGGTTCTCATAATTCTAAACAATTCTCCCATTATGAGAGAGGAACAGAGGAAGAAAGTATGCATTGAGAAGTACATTTAGCCACATTTTCTCAGGTTCCTAAATATAAGCAGTAATCCACACTATTATCCATTACACAGAAGTAGGATATTGATTTTGGAAACTATTTTCTTCTCTGCATCACTTCCACTAATACTTTAAGTGACTTAAGTTTCACACTTTTGAAAATATTCTCTTCAAAAACAACAAAGACTTTGCAGATCTGCTTCACAGGCAGTGGGGAATGTGAGAGTAGGTATATGGTGATTATCTATAGTGTTTGTTTAATAAAGTCTGAAAAGAACCCTGTAAGCCACAGACATGTGAAGAGGGTCATCTTAATCATCGCAATCTCTTCCTACCTGCCTCTTTGGAAATCTGCGTGAAGGATTCCACACCTTTCTCTCCGTAACTTCCTTCAGATGCGAGAGTAGACACGTAATTCCAGCCTAGGGCCTTCACAATGTCTACCATGGCCTGGGCTTGGAAGGAATCAGGTGGGACCACTCGGGAGAAGAAGTCATAGCGCCGGTCGTCACTTAACTCAGGTGCTGTTGATGCATAACTAATCTGGGGGATCTGAAAAGACAAGAAAGCACCGCATGAGAGCAAACCACCAGGATGCGAGAAGCTCATTTACACTGACAACAATTTTCCCAAAATACAGAACTTGAGTTCCAAAGAGGATGTGTGTGTTGCCAACCCTGACTCAAAGCCCACACCCAGTGAGAAAGTCACCTGGTGGGTCTTTACCTGAGTAATTCCTCAATTAGAGAGGTAGTGAGGTGGAGGGGAAATAAAAACGGATTTGCGCTCTTGATAAGATGTGATTTCAAAGTTTAATGTGGGGTTTTTTTCCACTAGTGTTTACTTTCGTGAAGCTATTTCACCTCAATGACTTAGTTGCATCATTAGTATATGATTGTTTTGAGGGGCAAGGATATAAATGTGCATTGCTTATCAGCGGTACTCAACTTGTGGGTCGAGAACAATGAAAATACATCCTGCATATCAGATATTTACATTATGATTCATAACAGTAGCAAAATTACAATTATGAAGTAGCAACGAAAATAATTTTATGGTTGGGGGTCACCACAACATGAGGAACTGTATTAAAGGGTCACGGTATTAGGAAGGTTGAGAACCACTGGCTTAGATGCTTGTGACAGGGTGGGCACTTAATACATGGGGGTGATGATAATCAAAACAGAGAACAGCATGGGTTTCCTTACTAAGTTCACCCATTCCCCACAAGTGGATTCCCAAGTTCTCTGTAACATTTTATCACAAACATCGCCCTCAACATTCTAAGAACATATGTTTACATATCTCTATCATTGCTTTAGAAATAATATTTTATTCAACTCTTTATTATGTTCCACTAATGTTCTAAAGTTTTATATGCACTACCTTACCTAACCATCAGTAAATACTCTTTACTATACTATGTATATTATACTACACTCTGCTATTATTAACTCATTTTACCCAAGAGGAGATGAGACTTGAAAATAGAATATGACCTTATCTCAGGTCATAATGTTGTAGGTCAGAGAGTAGTCCTCAAACTTGAAACTGCCCAATGCAAATTTCTGAACTCTTAACTATGATACTTAGATGAATTATTACTAAAATATTTTAATAATAAGCATAAAACAAGGAAGGACCATAGATTATTAGAGTCCAGGCCAATTTCTCTCCATAGCACTGACTACTGACACATTAAGTTATTTTACAGGTCACTCTCAGCTGTTGTTCAAACATTTTATTTAAATGCCATATTAAAGCTTATATAAATACTAGAGGCCTGGTGCACAAAATTTGTGCATGGGAGAGGGGGTGTCCCTAAGCCAGGCCTGCACCCTCTCACAATCCCAGACCCCTCGGGAGATGTCCAACTGTCAGTTTAGGCCCTATGCGGTGGCCTAAACTGGCAGTCGGACATCCCTCTCACAATCTGGGACCACTGGCTCCTAACCACTCGCCTGCCTGCCTCATAGCCCCTAACCACTCACCTGCAACCACTTGCCTGCCTGACTCATCACCCCTAAACACTCGCCTGCCTGCCTGATCACCCCTAACTGCCTCTGCCTTGGCCCCCGCAGCTGTGGCTTCATCCGGAAGGACATCCAGAGGTTTGTTCGGCTGTCTGGTCTAATTAGCATATTACGCTTTTATTATTATAGATATTCATGGACTGAGTTCCCTATGTTTCATTTATAGTTCTGAGGTTATAAATATTAGAAAAAGAAAATACCAACTGAATAAAGGCTTTGGGCAGAAAAATAAAAGTAAAGAAGAAGAGATGGAGGGAGGGAAGGAGGGAGGGAGGGGAAAGAGAGGTGGAGAGAGACCTTTTCTTACAAGAAATAAAAAGGAAAGAAGCCAAGCATATCAACACATTTACATCAATTTCAACTTGTGGAAATGGAAAAGCTTCATGCAATTGCACAGCTGTCTTTCCTGCCAAAATCCCTTTCTATGTTTGAAAGAGTGATAATAAAGATACACTCAGCTCTCTGTTTGAATCTGCATTTATGTAGCTGCTGCAAAATATCAGAATTGTAAAGTGCCCCAATGCAAATGCATTTTTCAAAACTGCGCCCCAAATTTCAGTAATGAAAACCCTGGGGAAGCAGCTTTCTTTCCTCAGTTCCATGCACCCTTTGAAAATGGGCCCTATCTGTGGTCCATCCTTCCTACTACAAACAAGAAATATCTCCTGGCTTAAGACTCATATGTCCCCTTAGGGTCATATACACACCCTATATCCAGTGAGACTTAAGTGATGCTAGACTAAGGAATGAAAGACTGACTGGATTTCATTTCTAAACTAAAAATGCGTATTGAGGCTATAAGAATATTCCTCCTAGAATTAGGGATGAAGGACTGGAAGAATGTATGCAACCTTACATATGTTGCTGTGTACTTATTTAGCTATGATGCTGCATATTTAGTTACTTGGTTTCAAACTAATGTTTAAGCCTACGGAGTAATTATTTTGAAGTGTGTGTTGTAACTAGTACCTACAACTGACCAAATTATTATTAGTCATCTTTAGTGATTAACTTCCACACTCTCCTTGATCTCTGACTGTACTTCCTTTTTCTTGCCAGTCTCCTATGGAAATGCAGAATTGATCTTTTGATGAAGATAACTTAGTATAATAAAACTTCAACTATAGAAAAATAAATGTTCCATATCTCTTTGAATCTTCCTTTTTCCAATTTAAAAAACAGCTTTAATCTTCATAAGACTAAATTTTCATCTTATTTTATTATTCTTTACTCTTACATCATTAACTTTTGCCTATCACACAAAAATGGTGCTATTGATGAGTATCAAATAGAATTAAAAACATCTATAAGCCATCATATTTGTTTATAGTTTAGACTTTCATTTAGAAAAATAATAATATACATCATTTTTTAAAAATTAAAGAAACAAAACAAGAAAATAACTTTAATGCCTTTATTCCTATTAACATTTGCTATACCTCTTTATCATTTTTGTGTGCATGAGGGTATGCACATAAATGTTACTAAGCAAAAGAACATGAGTCTTGCCCTGCCGGCATGGCTCAATGGTTGAGCATCTACCTATGAACCAGGATGTCATGGTTTCATTCCTGGTCAGGCACATGCCCAGGTTGTGGGCTCAATCCCCTGTATGAGGTGTATGGGAGGCAGCTGATCAATGATTTTCTCTCATCTTTGATGTTACCATCTCTCTCTCCCTTTCCCTTCACCTCTGAAATCAATAAAAATATTTTTTAACATGAATCTTAATCTCTTCTTCCCTTCCCTAGTTTCATTTCTCTTTCTCTCACTTCCTGGTTGCATAATATTCTACTAACTAAGCCTAAGATAAACCTAATCTTCATTGTTAAATGTTTAAACATATTTCAAGTTTCCATTACCACTAGAAGTTAAAAAAAATATTCTGACAGTTGATTCAAGTCCTTGTGGACATAAATGACTATTTTCTTAGATTACGGGTAAAGACTCTCCCTCACCAAAGTGACAGAAATAAATCAGGTTGACACTTAAATATTTCCCTATATGAAAATTACTTGAGGTTGTACTATAAGGTAAAGCAAACATCTATATATATTTTTCCCACATGGTTAACTACTTGCCCCAGCACCATATATTAAATACTCATTATATACTGATAGGAAAGGCCATCTTTTGTCACATATGAAAGCCTTTAACTATCCTCAAGTCTCGGGGTGTATTCTCTACTATTTCACTTGTCTGTTGACCAAGTATTGGGCCAGTGTTGTACTATTTTCATTTTTATAAACTTAGAATTTTTAGGGCTAGATTAATTAGAACACCTTCTCTCTTCATAACTGTTCTTTCGAAAAGGACCATGGGTAATCATACATGTTTAACTTTTCAGCTGAACTTTAGCACAAATGTTTCAATTTAGCATAATAATGTTCCATTAAGATTATG